TATAGCCAAGACAAAAACATGCATTTAGAGAGGTATTGCATTTATAGAGGTTGCATTTAGGGAGGTCTGACTGTATTATAGGCTAATAGAATAATAATATATTAAATTTTAAAATATTATCTAAAAAAAATATATATAAATATATATAATATAATTAGGGAACCGGTATTTCTACACCCCTTTTTTGGTATTTTCACACCTGTATAAATCACTCATTTTTAAAACTTTTATTGACAACCACTAAGTGAATTCGATGAACTTTTTTTTTTGAATTCTATTAATTCATAAAATTCAAATAAAAAAAAGTTCATTAAATTTTATTAGGTGGTTATTGAGATACTTTCGATCAAAGTCATGTATACATTTGTCGCAGCTAACATTTTAATAGACGTTTAAAATTTTTCTAAAAATTTCATCAAAACTATCTTGACAACCACATAATGAAATTCGTTGAACTTTTTTTTTTATTTGAATTCTATGAATCCATAGAATTCAAATAAAAAAAATTCATCAAATTTCATTAGGTGGTTGTTGAGATACCTTCGATCAAAGTCATACACAAATTTGCCGTAGCTTATATTGTTTAAAAATTTTATCGAAGATATCTAAACAACCACTTAGTGAATTTGATAAATTTTTTTTAATTTGAATTCTATGATTCACAAAATTCAAATAAAAAAAAATTTACTGAATTTTATTAGGTAGTTGTCAAGATAGTTTCGATGAAAGTTTTGGAAAAATTTTAAACATCTATTAAAATATTAGCTATGACAAATTTATGCATGACTTTGATTAAAAGTATCTCAATAACCACCTAATAATATTCAATGAACTTTTTTTTATTTGAATTTTATGAAACCATAGAATTCAAAGAAAAAAATCATCGAATTTCACTTAGTGATTGTTGAGATACCTTTATAAAAGTTTTAAGATCTACATAGGGTGTGGAAATACCGGTTCCATATAATTATTATTATGCTATATCTAGCCAATATCTATAGTATATTAGTAAAATCTATTTCTATAATAAAGCTATTAGTATAGAAATTAAAATGAGATTAAATAATATTGGTAATAAAAAATTATTTAAGTTAGTTGGCTAAGTATTCTCTATATCTTACTAGTCTTATTAATTACTCTATTCTATTATAAAAAATGCTATTATATTATAGCTTTAGTTTAGTATATCTGATATATATATTATATAACATAATTCATTGAATTCACGCATATACTTATCTTAAATTTTGTTAACTATCATTGGATTTTTGACCCAAACTAAATATTTATATCCAATCGGTAGTTACAGCGGCCACCGATTTTACTGGTCATATGGGTAGCGCCACCTGCAGCAATTGTTGCAAACGAATCATTATTGTATTCATAGTGCTATTGCTATGAAAATTTTGACTTTGGATTGCATATTGTGCATATTAAACATTGGTGGCGCCACTCAAATGACCCGCAAAATCGGTGGCCGCCCTGGTTGTGTTCTAACCTTACCACCCTAATAAGGCCAAACCAATTTAATTCGGTGGTTTACGTTACATTAGGGTGTGAAATGTCATATGATCTACAAACATAGTGAAGGTCATATATTAAATTTTAATGTAGATTTTTTGTCGATCATTCTTTTTAATAACAAAAAACGTAAAAATTTCAAACTGAAATAACTCCTGAACTACTTATGAGACGCATACAAAATTATATTTATTAGATTCCTTTTAACATTCTCTTTAAAGTAATAGAGCCATTTTTTTATTTTTCAGATAAGTTGAAGCGAAAACTGATTACTAAAACATGATTAATTTTAGGACAATAAAAAAGTGAGCTCTATTACTTTAAAGAGAATATTTAGAGGAATCTAATAAAGGTATTTTTACTCGTATATCGTAAGTAGTTCAAAATTTACTTCAGTTTAAATTGTGCATCTATATGTTTCCGATCATCAATCACAAATCAACCAATCATATTAAGCTGCAGATCATGCAGATCATCGGAAAATCTTGATTAAGTAGTAAAAATTAGAATAGATTATGATCTTCACTATTTTTGTATTTGTTATGCTATTTCACACCCTAACGTTACATCCTTCTCACAAAAAGGGGAAGCTGGAGGGAGTTTATTATAATTTTTTTCCGAAATGATCCGCGATATTATAAAGGTTTTCCGAAATTTCCGCACATATAGTGAGGGGGAGGCAGAAGGGGGGTAACGTAAACTACCGAATTAAATTGGTATGACCCAACTACCAGCCTTAACCTATTAAACAATGCAAAACGATATAAAATACTACCGAGAAACGATACCGAAAACCTACCGAGAAACGACGAAAAAACCAGCCGTAAACCGGTAAAAGAACCACAATAAAACCACAAAAGAACCACAGCTAAACGACCAATGAATCCACCATTAAACGACGAAAGACCCACTGTGAAACAACGAAGAAATTTACACATTAAACAACAGAAGAACCCATCATTAAACAACGAAAAAACTTCCATTAGACGATGAAAGACCCACCATGAAACGACAAAGAAACCCACGTGAAACAACAGCAGTGGTCCTTTTCGATATTTAAACAGCTGCCCTACCTTGTTTAGTGTAATCCAGGTCTGCATAAGGAGAGCTTCTTCCTGCGTTGTGAATTCAAAGTAAAATTACCAATTATATATATAATTAGAAATTTTACTTTGTATTCGCAACACAGGAAGAAGCACTCCTTATGCAGACCTGGATTATACTCGCACTAGACAAGATAGGGCAACTGTTAAAAATCGAAAAAAACCTCTGCTTCATGAAAAGACAAATGAACTCACCGCAAAACACAAAAGCAGCGACTCTAACGACGTCGACAACTGCTTAAAACGTGACGACATCGGCGACTCAAAATGCGACGGCACAACCGGGGTTAAATCGCCACCCAAAAAAGTTACAGATCATGTGATTTACATCATTCTTATATAATACAAATTATCATACGATTTCGATTTGTATTATTAATATTGTAATACAGTAAAAAAAATACTTTCGTATTTACCTT